ATTCTGAAATTTCGATTAATTCATCTAAAATACACTATAAAAAACCTCCCAAAAACGCTTCATCCTTTATTAATGTTACTTATCAACGGATGAAGAGATAATAAGACTATTGCCCGAACCATCATCAAATAAGGTATCAACTGAAGTCACCAACTAAATCCCACTAATCCAAAACATCACATCTAACCACTACTCGAACTAACCGAATATTTCTCATAGAATGCTGGAATATCCTTGACGAGATCATTCGACACTCGATATATACACTGCACACAATTGTTGATTTGCTCACACTTCATCATTATCTTCTTCAACAACGTCAAATACACNAATGACAAAATCTGAAAAATTGATCCGCTAAAAATTGATCCATATCCAATTCAAAGTTCCGTTCACTACTTCTTAATATAAGTTGTGCTGAATGATTTCATCGCCCTCTTCTAATGTTAATTCGTGTGCCTCAGTTCTACAATGTATGGCTTAGTTCTACTAGTGTTGGGTCGGTGACCACCGAAAATCAGTCGGTAATCACCGACGTTTTTCAGGTAGTCCTCGACCGTCGGTGGATACCGAGTTGCGGTGATTACCGACCCGTCAGTAACCACCGACCGCAACCGATAAGGCTCGCTCGGTCGGTGACAGTGGCAAACCGCCCCACGGTTACAACCGAACCGTAACTGATCGATGCTCAAAATTATGCGGTCGGTGAATACCGAGTTGCGGTAATCACCGACAGGACTCTCGGTCGGTGATTACCGAGAAAAATCTTACGGTTGCCAACACTAAGTTCTAATTAAGTTCTACAATTAACTCATAACGAACTAAGTTTTACAATTCATACACACTCATCCATATACATACGTTTTGTTTCACGCACAATATGTATCCATGAGATTCAAATGATATTATCATCACCATCACTATTCAGCTTTTTAAAAAATTTATTTAACCAGCGAATCCAACTCATGACGAATTTATGCCTCTGTGCTATCACCAAAATCACTAATATCACATTCGTCCTTCTTTGGTATTCTTCTTTCCTCGCACCTAACAACAATAGCGTTGGAAATCATCTACCTTCACAAAATTCTAACTTCGATTATTGACTGATCTGGCGATCACAGAGTTTTTATACTACTCGCCCATTTTGCCCAATGATTTCTAGGGGGAGGAACTACTACCATTATCTGTATCGTTACATTATTATGATAAGCGTTATAACTATAACTGCTAAAATACTTACGTTTCAAGTAACCGTCCACCATCCTTGATTAAGCCAGATACTGGTAAACTGCTTAGACGTTCCATTTCATCGATATCGAATTGTTTTAATTTGATTCGTTCGATTAAATTCTCACATCCACTTACGAACTCTTGTTCACTTTCTGACGTTGTGCTTGCTGGGGATGTTTGCTGAAAGTGAACCAAAAACTTTTGCTGCGATAAATTATTTAAACGAGTAAAACTCTTCACAAAACAGTATTTCCCATTAACTTCATTCCCATTCCATAGAGAAACTTAACAGATTCTAACTCAATCACATGTAATCATTTTAAAAAATTCCCACATTCGTTCAATTCCACATTATTTATTCAACGTTTCAACATTCCCCTC